CCGCACGCCCGCACGCCCACGCACGCGCACGCGCACGCGCACGCGCACGCGCACGCGCGCACACGCACACGCACACGCACACGCACACGCACACGCACACGCACACGCACACGCACACCCACACCCACACGCACACACACACACACACACGTTTCTTGCATTTTCTTGCTGTCTCAGAACCGGAGTTTCTTCAGGAAGGACGACGCATTCTCATAGAAACTTTATCTTCTGACAGAAGTCTGGTGTGACAAGAGGACCAAGATGAACGAATCCGGGTAATGCTGCCGAAGCCCTGCAGGTGTCACTGGAAGCTGAGTTTGACGGGGTGTCCTACTCCCTGGGCCTTCGTGCGCCGGAGTTCAGCTTCAGCACCGGCGCTCTCAAAGCCTTCCGCGGCAGCGTATCCGCTTCCGTGTCCTTCGGGGTGACAACGCAGGCGGGATTCCCTCCAAGCTCAAAACCCGGACATAGAGCACCCCGCAGCACCCCGCAGCACCCCGCAGCATCCTTCTCAGCATTTTTCAGCATCCTGCAGCATCCCTTAGCATCCCGCAGCATTGATAAGCCAGGTTGAGTTGAGCCTTCACGTTGCGGCGCTGCAGTTCCAAGTTCAGGAGAGCTTTGTGTGGGGATAGGTTCATGGGCTCGATCGACGGCTGCTGCGCGGCTATCTTCAACCCGTGTACGACGACACAATTCTAGTTCTAGTTAGTTGTCGCGGAGCCTCTACTACTCTTCTAAGTGTCTCAGACACGGACGAACTGACACTGTAGTGGCAAGTTCGCGCGCAGGAGGCTTTCCTCGACTTCGCGGGAACGCTGGAGATATCCCCCATGGGGGCTTTCTTTGGTGAGCTCATGATGAGGTCACCAACCTTGCTGCCTTTTGGCAAGCGCATTGGCCTCATCATCCCAGATCCGGTCGCAGAGCCTTTCACGCTGTCCATCGGCTACGACCCTCTCCTGCAGCTGGCCACGCTGGGCCTGCGAGCCCACGCCATCATGTCGGCAGACAAGGACCTCCAACTCGGAAGCGGCGATGCGGGCAAGGCTGCACAAGACCGATGTGCAGAGAGCCCGCCGCGTGCCAGGATTTGTTCGTAGCACAGCAGACAGCGACGTAGGTGCAAGTAGACGGACATGTCGACAGGTGTAGACGGTACCGAGTAGATGTAGCGCCACGGCCTGCTTTGAACTGTCGTGAGAGGTCAGCAGAGTTGAGTCATTGAGTTGCGTCAATTTGAGGCAGTGCGCCACGATCTTCGCCCACCTGGGCCTGGAGATCAACCTTGTGACAGGCGCCCCGACGTCGATGTACATTGACACCCGCGCGGACCAAGCCATGACGGTGCCCATGGTTCTGCAGGCGGCCCTCGGCTATGACCTACCGGATGGAATCCACAGCATGGGCGAGTTCTATTTCGGGGAGTTCGGGCCCTTCGCGATCCGGTTCAGCTACGACGCGCTGGAGCCCGCGAACGTCGAGCTGTATCTCGTTGCCGCAGTGGGGCTTCCCGTGCTTGGCACCTCCCTGATGGTAAAGGTGGATGCAAGCCTCGCGCGGACCGTGTTCGAGTTCCAAGCAGTGATGAGCCAGGGCTGTCTTGGCTTGACCCTGGACAACAAGTGCAACGGACTGGATGTGCAGGCAACAAGCGTGGGCAGAGAGGCCCGGGGCTCGGGACTCTGAGCCGCTGTAAGGGAGAGCTCTCCCTCATCCCTCACGTCCCGCGTGCCGGGTTTCGATCGCCTTTTTGGTGATTTTTTTGCTTTCTTTACTTTCCATTCGTGTGACGCTGCAGGCGTGGAGCAATCTCTACGGCGAGCTGGCTGAGCTGTTTGGGGAGGGCTTCAGCGCAAGCAACCTGCCCAGCGGGCTGGACTCCGAAGACAAAGCAGGTCCAGCCGTGTCCCTGACCCTCTCGCCGCAGAAGTTTGAGTTCGCAGGAGAGGCCTCGGCCGACATTGTGGTCGGGGCAGCGCCCTTCCTGAGCCAGCTGCTTCCATCCGGCAAGATCAAGTGGGAAGTTTCGGCCGAAGCGGTGAAGTTTGACGCGACCCTGAAGAGCCCGCTGTCATCCTACCAGGTGAGGCTGGACCTTGATTTGTCACCACTTTCACTGAACGAGTTCTACATCTCCCTCGATTACGAACCCCTCTACGACTTCGCAAAGGATGCGGTGAAGAAGACGAGCCAGGAGGTCTATGATCTCTGCGAGTTCCTAGATGTTTGGAATTCGCTCCGCTTCAGCAAGTTCTTCTTGCAGTTCAAGGCCGGTGTTGCGGAGCTCGGCACCGATATGACCATCTTCAGCAAGCAGATCTCCCTCCGCTTGAAGCTTGACTTCCAGGCGATCGTGGAAGGTCTGGTCAAGCTCTTCCGTGGAGATTTCAGCGGCCTCTCAAAGCTGGCAACGAGCATGTACGATGCCCTCAAGGAGAAGGTGGGCGCAGATCCCTGCGCTTGTGCAGAGCCCTGCAGGGCCCGATACAAGACGACATTCCCCGTCATGGAGGAGCACAAGGAAAAGGTGCCGGTCCCCTATTGGGGCCGTTGCCGAGTCCGGTACCCTTGTGGCGTCAAGTGTCCTGGTGTGTTTCATCCTCTTTTCACCATCCCCACGGTGCAGAAAACTGGCTAGACATCGAGCCCAGCAGGGGGGGGGGGAGAAGTTGGCTGGGTGGATTGGGAGGGGGGGGGGGGAAGTTGTCTGTGCTGTCATTGAACATGGCAACATACTGCATCTCTTGGACCAGATGTGTTGAGCTGTGCAGAGCTCAGGTGGTGCGGCTGGCGACCATGTGGCGCCAGGTATTGCCACAAGACTATCGGCTGCCCCAAAACCAGATGGGAATGGCTGACGGTCGAGCTGCCCGTTACAAAGTCAATTGCTCGACGCCGCGAATGCAGAGTGGCGGGAGGCTTCGGGGGCATCGTGCCTTGCACCCAGAACCTTGCAGACAACGGCTTCGGATTACCTGACCCAACCCACCGGCATTGTTAGTTTTTTCCTCGGTGTGCATCCCCAATGGGCATAGCGCACCCTCAACGGCCCATGCTAGAAGTGCTTGCGCATTTTTTTTAGCATCCTCTGCAAATCCGTTTCTTCGGGCTTCACGAGCACTGCGAACTCCAAGATTCCAAGCACACGTGTCAAATCCACCGAGTGGCAAGCAAGAGAGCCCATTGAACGGCCGTTTGCGGCAGCATGCATTGGCTCAGCGATGGCGCTTGTAGATTTATGGTGTGCAGCCAGATGTAGCAAGCTGCATAGCTGTAGCTTGCATCTTGGGGTTCGACCTGAGAAACTAGCCGTAGCTGTCGCTGGTTGCCAAATGGTTCCCTCTTAATTAGCTCGAGGGAATCTTTAAGTCGTGAAGTTTCTGTGCTGTGCATAGGCTTTGTCCTCTGGCCTCGTGCTTCATGCAAGTTCGCCGTACAGGGCAGGGAGGAGCTGGCGTCCAACACGTCGGCTTGCCGGTAAAGGAAGCAGCCTCTGGCAACGGCTTACGCAAGCCACGATTCATGCAGTCTCCGCTGTGAGTTGGGGATAGTTTGGGGTTGGGGCCATCAGGGGCTGCCCGGCCGGCCGGAGCAAACGCGCTCCTTCAAGTGCCAACTGTATTGATGAGCTCACATGACATGAGTTATTAGCCGTCGTGGTTTTGCCTTAGCTTTCCCCTGTGCTGCTCAAGGCTTCCCTGCAAGATTGCCTGTCGATCACGCCTTCTCTGCTGTATTATTTGGGGCACCTATCGGGGTGGTCACCCACCGACATTGCTAGCGTTAGTTTTTCACAGTCTTCAAGCCCAGAGCATGCCCTCCAGCCGAGATCCGTTTTGAAGCCCACCGGAAGTGCACGTTTCCATGCATCCTCTGCCAATCGGGCACGCAGCTAGAGACGAGCCGGGGATTTGGGTTTGCGTTTGGATAGAACGGCTCCTTTTTCCGACGCTTGTGTGATGGTTCAGATACCAAGTGCGTCCAAGTGCCAACGAGGGTGCAGCAATCTTGAATTCGTGGCTAGGGCTAGGGCTGTCCGGAGCTTCCATCACTCCGCACAACTGACAAGCTGCTGCTTCAGTTGCTGCTGTCATCAATTGGGTTGAGCTAGGGTTGAACGGAAATCCAGGGTCAAGGCGTGCTGGAAGCATACGACAGTTCCGTAGCTGCGTCTCGCACGGCATGGCCAGGCTTCATCCCTCCCGGTCATGTTAGTTTCGAGGCTTTCCTGAACGAGGCTGGAGTCCGACACACGACCCCCCTTCTGCTCAATTCAGGTCCAGACCTGAGGAGCTTTGCGCGGGCCTTGCCTCAGACCGTTCGGCCCCTGGCAACATTGTACCCCCGGCCCCACACAAAAGCAGTTGGGAGCCGGGGTCCGCCACAGGGGTTCACCGGCACATGGCTGACAGTGCGCAGGAATGGGGAGTGCTACGGGATGACATGAGAGTGTGATCTATGAGAGCGTGAGCATGTGTGACAGACAGGACGCGGATGGCTCAAGAGGTTAAAGCTGCTCTGCAGCAACCAGGGCGGCAGCCTCGTGCCCCCGATTTCCCAATTTCGTGTTTTCGCGCGGCCCCACAAAAACGCGTTGGAGGCCTTCTGCCCAATTGAGGGCCAGACCTAAAGAGCTTTGCACGGGCCTTGCCTCAGACCGGCCCCCTGGCAACGTTTTCGCCCGGCCCCACAGAAAAGCCGTTGGGAGCCGGGGTCCGCCGCAGGGGTTGACCGGCATGGCATGGCAGACAGTGCGCAGGAATGGGGAGTGCTGTGAGATGAGAGTTTGTGAGAGTGTGAGCATGTGTGACCGACAGACGCCAGAGTTTCAAGCGGCTCTCCTGCATGCAAATTCCGCTCTCCAGCAACAAGCACGGCAGCCTCGTGTCGCAATTCCCAGCTTCTTTCACAAAGTGGCAGGCCTGCACTGGCCTTGCCTCAGACCGGACACTTGCGACGTGTTACGCCCGGCCCCACAGAAAAGCCGTTGGGAGCCGGGGCTGAAGCCAACTTAATTTGAAAAGAATGCCTTATTTCTTGTTGCCTGCAAGGCATGGACCATCTTTTATCGAACACACCATGGCCATGCGCATGGAACGAGATCGCCAGTGATCAAAAAGCAGGATGCCAGAACATGCCGGAGACCAGTCAGCCCGTGGCATGTTTTTGCAAAGCACGCCAGCGTGTCGTGCGTCATGCGTTCAACAGTCATACGTGCCAGGGCCCATCCTGCAGCTGTCGTGGAGACTTTTTCGGCTTCAGGGGTTTCGGCGACGCATGTCCCTCTGTGTTCCTTCTTGATGTGTAGTTGCGTGTAGATGCCTCCACGGGCCAAGGCGTCTGGCCCTCGGCAAACAAAGGGGGCACTGTGCGCCAATTTCAAAAGCTCAAGCCGAAACTCAACCCTAAGAACCCGCTATACAAACACTCAAAACCGCCTTCTATCGCGATGCGCTTTCTGCATCAGCCGAGGCACTGACATTGCATGTGAGCCGTCCTCCCGCTCTTCACCTGCAGAGGCCTGGCGAAAGGCGAGGCTTTTGGTGCCCTACTCAAGCTCTAGTCTCAGGCGTCTCACGTGTCTCGTGTTGACAAGAAGGCACTAGTTGCCATGCCCAACTGGCACAAAAGAGAGGCGCCTTGGAACAACCCTCTTCAGGGCTGGCATCATATGATGTGGCAGCCATTGCAGTCCTTTGGCATCCCGAGGGACAGGCTTTGGACTTGAAAGGAGAAGCTGGGAACCGTGATCCTTAAGCGAAGCCCTGAGCCATCCTGAACCCCAAAAAGGGTGAGCCACATTCTCTGAAAAAAGGACATGTGGGGTGGGAAGAGCTCGAAAAGGACCGGGTGGGATGCCCCAAGTCCCCCAAAAAGGAGTTTTTTTGGGGTTGGAAGACCGGGCAAGACCATCATTCCGGGGTCGCCAGATGCGCGCTGGGCTGCGATTGAAAGGGTTTAGGGTTGAGTTCGTGTTCCCCCTCCGACTCTTGAGTTCTCAGAAAGATTCAGGGGAAGGGAAGGGTGGAAAGGGGGTCGGCCGGGAAATTCTTCAGAACAAGCTTCCCACCGCGCAACGAAACAAAGCAGCCGGGAGCGGATCCAATGATAGGGCGGATCCAATCATTGGGGCCGTGCTCTGGATCCAGATTGCCTGGGACGTATTGTTGGGTCTAGATTCCGGGGTCGCCCTTCGCGTTGAGATGAGCTGTTAAAGCAAACGAAGTGCTAGCAAATGCTAACAGTCATGAGCAGCCGCTCGCCGTCATGCAGCGCATTAGCTTGCAAGATGACGGTGATTCCGCAGGAGAATCAGCTGGAGTGTGTGAGCGGAGTTTTTGTGCCTGGCTTTCTTCGCTGTGAAACTCAATTCATGCGATTGTTGCACCAGTTCGTCGTTGAGATCACATGCCATGGCTGAGAAGCCAATTAGCGAGATCGCTTCGTTCCATGCAGCAGGGGCGCAACATTGGATGGTGGGCCTCGCCACCTTCTGAATTTTCTGACAGTATTCAAAGTTAGAAAACGCTACCGTTACCACAAAAAGACCCCATGACAGAGGCCAGTGAGTCCATAGCAATGTTTTGCAAAGCAACGTTGGCATGCTGGCGTCCTCGGCTCAGCAGGTGAGGGTTCGGGACTATATAGTTCGCGCATTTCGCATCACGCATCATTCCGCAAACGATGTCTTCTCTCGGAGGCAGGTTGCAGAGACGAGCCTTGTTGCCATTGTGTGTGTTTTGCACTGGTTGTCATGAATGACTTTCCGGCTCCCGTCAGGGCTCAGCACTGACCGCAACGCTCTTCGGCAGGTTTCGGCTTTGCTCTGAGATTTGAGACCCGTGACCTCGATGCTTCATGGATTGAGCGTGCCCTGTACTTGACTTAGGCTCCCGCTGCCGTGCTGGGAGTGCTGCAGATGCTCTGCCTTGCTCCTCTCGTTGGAGGCCGCCCTCAAACAATGGGGGGGGTGCTGATGGGTGTGTGTTTATTGATTTCTTCCCAGCACACTCGATTACTCAGGAGATGGGTATAGTCGTTCGGTGTCCTCAAGCTGTAGAACCCGAAACGAGTAACCGTATTGTTAGCTTGCCGTACAAGCAGCACGAGCAAGTACGAGCACAAGGGCGTTCCAAGGATGGCCGCATTGGGGGTATGTGTCAGCGGGCAGCGGGGCGGAAGAGCACAGATGTTGGGAAGCTCCATGTTTCCGCGATCGGATTGCTGGCAGGCCAAGTACCCTGGCAGGTCACATCTGGGCCAGGTGCCAAGAACCAAGCCACTTTGACTCGGCGGGCTGGCTACTGTCGCACAGTCTTAAACTAGGTTCCTCTACTTTCTGCAAGTTACGTGTGCGTACTGCTGCGTAGCTGATTCCGATTCACGTGTTGGCACGCTGCAGCATAGGTCAGTTGCTGAGGTCATGTAATCTTGACGGCGATGGCTGCATCAGCAGCACGAATTACCCCCTCGCCTACCCCAACAATGATGCCTGCACCATCCATGTCGAAGCAGGCAACACAAGGCCCATAGAGGTGGTGGCCTTTAACACGGAGCGAATGTGGGATGAGCTGGAAGTAAACGGCTTCAAGTTCTCTGGCACCTATGATCCACATGGGCTTGTACCAGAAGGGTCGATCAAGTGGGAATCAGAATCTCGGCTCCAGTTTGATTGTTGCTCATCATGACCCGCCGTTTCAAGACATGGCTGTTGCACATCACTGTGCCTCTGCTCCGTGTCAGATCTTGTGCTCAGTGGGCATGCGATGGACTCGGGACATCACATAGATGTGGAGAACAGACCATCCATGCTCTTGAAAACCCTGTAAAGGGAAGTAGATGATGCACGGAAGACAAATAAGGCCAAAAGGAGAAGGAATACATCAAGCAAGGTGACCACAAGAACCACCATGAAGACCTGGGACCAAACGCAAAGTTCAAGACCCAAACAGATTTCACTGTCACTCAGAGTGTCTCCCCCCTCCACCCGGCAGCTGAGTGGACGCGCAGCTTCACAGCCCGGATGGCAGTTGACCTCCTCGGATTGGCAGAACTTTAAGTCCTATTGACATATTGTCATATTGAGTAGAGAAACTCAAAAAGTACAGAAGGTGAGGCGTTGGACAAGACATGACTGATCTGCGCAACTGCTTCCGTTACTGAAAGGATGGAATCATCACCGAGTCCGGCTGGAAGATGTGCCTTGAAAGCGATACTTGGACAGCAGTCCCACGCTTGGAGAACGTCAGCTGTGACTTCAAGATGGACGCCTGTGGTTGGGACGAGCAGGCCGCGTTAGGTCCGTTACTGGTAGGTATTGGATTGGCACATGTTGCATCAGCCCATTGTCAGGACTGGTTCTTGGATGATCTAGGCTGGGCTTCCTCGGTGCTGTTCCGAAATGCCACCTTGACAAGTCCCTTATTTCCGGCGATCAATGCAACAGGCTTGCGCTGGAATTTCGCCTACTTTATACAGGATTTCATTGGTTTCGCCGCATACACTGGATACACGGGCGAAGTCCCCACTCTTGAGCTGCAGTACTTCGATGGTGCTGTCTGGACGGCTTCATGGAGCAGGTCTTGCTGTCAGGTGTGGCGCCGTGCTTCCGTGCAGCTACCGGCAGAAGCACAAGCTTTGCGATTCATGAGCAACACAAACTCGGCTGTCGATGACGTTGGCCTGGCTTCCCTTGACTCAGGTGATTTGGCCTGCGATTTCGAGGTCGACTCCTGCAATTGGGTTTCCGGCGGCTCCACGTGGCAGCACACGTTTCGCGATACTGAACCAGCACGCTCCGACACAAGTTTGACGACTGGCAAGTCCTACCTGTCGACTGCAGCCAACTCATCAGAAACGTTTGTCTTGGAGAGCATGCCTTTCAACTCTATGCAGCACGCCTTTGCCTTTGCCTACCAGGTCATTGGCTCGCACACTGCGGCGCTTGAGCTGCAGTGCAAGACCGCATCCAACGACTGGGTGCAGCTCTTTGTGAAGACGGGAGGCCAAGGCTCAGACTGGCATGAGGCCATCGTCAGCATTCCCGCGGGCAGCACCGCGCTCCGGTTCCTGGCCAACGTGACCTCGGAGGATGCCGTGAGCCTGGACTCCTTCGTCGTGATGAACGTGGCCTCGAGCCTCGAGAACATCAGCTGCAGCTTCGACGCGGACCTCTGTGGCTGGGTGCATCAGGGCCAGGCAGGGCTCTCTGGCTGCATTGCTCTTAGAGACAGTCGGGCCTTTTCCTGCAGGCCTGGCTGCTGCCTGGTTCAATAAGGAGGTCCGGCTGGAGGCGTGGCAGCATGGCAAGAGAAAGAGCAGCAGGTCAATTAGAGCACATGTGCCGACAAGAGAACCCGAAGCCCTAAACCTAAAGCCAGGCGGCCTGGATTTTCTTCTGGGCCGCACGCTGTTGGCATCGAAGCAGGAAGATGGGCCTCCCCAGAGTACCAGTCCGATTTGTTATTTTCATTGTTCTTGCAGGTATCCTCTGGGATGTCAGATGATGCCAAACAGGACCGCAAATAG